TTATACAAAATTTTATTAAAATAAAACCATTTAAACTGGGTGTTCGGATTTATATGTCACTTAGTATATTTATAGGACCTTACATTGTGTCCATTATATACGGATTTCCATTATAAGCAAGTTCATTATAAGTGGATTTCACAGTATTATCTAAATCTCGCCTCCTGTAATACCATTACAAATAAAAAAGACGTTAATTATTATCATATTTTTAAATAGGTAATCGGATCGTCAGGTAACGTGCTCGCCACTTTGTCAGAGGGGTCAGTTTTTGGGGAAATTAGCTTACTTGGAATACCTGGAATGAATCGAAGAACAGCTGATGTCAGGTAATACTTCTGTTATATTGCTCAGCTAAAATATGTGAATTTCTGAGAGTTTGAGAATTTCAGTGAGGACTACTCCATGTTGAAATGGTATAAAACAAGCTGTATGGAAAAATTACATTTTTGGGTGGACCATATCAATATCAATCAATATCAATTTCAATAACCTTTATTTCCATACAGACAATATCAATTTCAGTTTATTGTTGCATAACTTTAAGATTCGATAGAACTTTTAAAATTAATGCATAAAGTTTATATAAACATGGATCGAAAAATGCGTGGCTTCCGAAATACAGGGTGTTTAAATTTACTTTCTAAAATAAATTTTTTTTAAATTTTTCTAACAATATTTGATGTATAACAGTGACAATTGGTATACAAGGGTTTTTTGGTACGACAAAACGAACCATGGGCATAGTTTTACTGTAGCCGCTAGAGGGCGCTCTCTACTGTACCTGTAGTGTATTAAAATGACCGAAAATTTTTTCTTAGTGCAATTTTTTGCTTTTTGAATAAAAAAACTGATTCTTCGCACTTTTCAACATAAAAAAGCTCTCCTGTGAGTTTTCGTTATAGTTAGCCGTTTTGGAGATATTTCGATTTTTAAGGTTCGATGCATTTTTAATTATTTATGGGAAAATAATATTTTTTTACAATTTCGATTTGGGCATTACAAGCAATTAAGATGATCGTTTAGATTGTGTTTTTAAACACAGCAATAATTCCTAACTCCAAATAAACACAAAAAAACAGAATATTAATTTGTTTAATTTTCCAATATTATTTTTAACAAATTAAATTAATTATTTACAACTAAAATGCTATTGGATAGTTAGGACAAACATACAAAATCTAAAGTAGTTGCTCGAAATGTAAACCCAATTGTTCAATACACAATTCACATCTACGAATGATCGAACGTGGTATAGCATTATTCAAATAAGGCCTTATTTCATCACATGCATTCCTGATTCTGTCTATTAGCATATCTCTTGTGGTTACGGGAGCCTGGTACACTTTTTCTTTTAGAAATCCCCACACAAAGAAATCTAATGGATTTAGGTCAGAGGATCGTGGTGGCCAGGCTACTGGTCCTCCACGGCCGATCCATCTTTCTGGATAATTTTCGTCCAGCCAGTTTCTAACTATTCTCGAATAATGAGCTGGACAACCATCAAGCTGGAACCAGGACAATCTTCTTAAATCTAACATAACATCATTCCATATATTTGCATGTTCAGCCTTTAAAAATTCCAAGTAGGTCGCAGCATTTAACCTTGCAGGCAAAAGGTAGGGTCCAAATAGTCGATAGATACCAATCCACACGTTCACACTCAATTCGTGCTGAAAATTTATTTCCCGAACTGCATGCGGATTTTCATGCGACCAAATATGTTGATTATGAAAATTTACCACTCCACGTCTAGTGAAGCATGACTCATCGGTCCATAAAACGTTACTTAAAAACTCCCTATTATTATCAGTTCTATCAAGAATCCACTGACAAAATGTGATTCTTCGTTCTCCGTCCCCTGGCTGTAGTCCTTGCACCGGTTGCAAATGGTAAGGACGTCTATGGTCATTTCTAAGAACACGGTGAACATGGCTTGATGAAATTCCCAAGGCACCAAAAACTCTCCTAACACTTGTGGTCGGATCTCTATCAAACTCACGCAGAATCATACGGGTAAATCTGCGCTGACGAACATTTATGTTTTGATCCCTTTGGAGATTTCCAAAACCATTTTCAATTATTTGGCGATGCACTCTTACAAATACTGAGCGAGTTGGATGTCGTCTATTTGGAAATCTTCGTGTGTATTCTCTGGCTGCTTCTGCTGCGTTTCCATTTACAAAGCCATACACAAAATGAATATCCGCTAACTCTTGATTGGAGAATAAAAATGGCATTTTTATAAACCTTACAAAAAAAAACAGGTAAAAGAAACTAAATTTCTTGCATTCACAATTGCAAAAAAACGTTTCAGGTTTCAACAGACAACGAAACTAACTGTCAACTAATTGACGTTTAACCTTATTCTGCTTTCAATTTCAAAAATATTTGTAGGCACAGCCTACTTCTAAAAATTATCGAGATACTGACTTTTTAACGTTATTTTATCATAAATAATTAAAAATGCATCGAACCTTAAAAATCGAAATATCTCAAAAACGGCTAACTATAACGAAAATTCACAAGAGAGCTTTTTTATGTTGAAAAGTGCGAAGAATCAGTTTTTTTATTCAAAAAGCAAAAAATTGCACAAAGAAAAAATTTTTGGTCATTTTAATACACTACAGGTACAGTAGAGAGCGCCCTCTAGCGGCTACAGTAAAACTATGCCCATGGTTCGTTTTGTCGTACCAAAAAACCCTTCTATACCAATTTTCACGGTTATACATCAAATATTGTTCGAAATATTTAAAAAAAACTATTTTAGAAAGTAAATTTAAACACCTTGTATTTCGGAAGCCACGCATTTTTCGACCCATGTTTATATAGACTTTATGCATTAATTTTCAAAGTTCTATCGAATCTTAAAGTTATGCAACAATAAACTGAAACACCCTGTATACAACGAAGGGGCAGTTAAAATGTCGAAACTTATAAAATATTTTTGGAACTTTCTGTTGGTGAGATGCCCGCTAATGATCGGATGCATCTTTTTTGAGACACAAATACATCTTCAGAGCGCGTTGACCAACCCCAGAAACATACTCCATATCTTAATCTCGAATCCACGTTAGCAAAATAAACTTGTATCAATTGTTCAGCTGTTAAGATGGTTTTTAATTGCCTCAACACATAGCTACAGTTTTTTGAGCATGATGAAAACGAATAAGCGTTGTTTTGGAAGGATTCAAGTAAAGTGAGTACTGGTTAAACCATGTATTGATATTCCTAATTAAGTTGTTACATTTATCTTCCAAAATTATATTTGAATTACTTGATATTATGGCAGAAACGTCATCAGCATATGCTGTAAAATGGGTATCTGGATGATCATTATCAAACTGATTAATGTATAAGAGGAAAAAGATTGGTCCAAGAATAGAGCGCTGAGGGACTCCAATCGAGATGTCTAACGTACTTGACACAAAGTTTTTCATATTGTTCCCGGCATCAAGATATTGCTGTGTAATTGTTGCTTCCTACTTTTCCAAAACAATGCTGATGGTTCCATTCTTAAAAGCACACAAACCTTTCAAATAAATAAAATTAGTACCACACATCTCCATTTTTAAGTAGACCCAACCTTATACGGTGGCTCAAAAACTAAGGTAGGATTTATATAAATCACGATTTTTTCAGATCTAAAGGATATTCCAATCTGTTCGTCCTGAGCAAGACTGACTTAAACGCCGCGCTGTCTCATTATCCTGAAGCTCAAGAACTGCTCAATAAAAAAGCAAAAACGCTCATGAAGAAAAATGCGTCATTAGAAAGGAAGTACAAAGATGCAATGATTGTCATTAATAATCCGACAACGCCTGCCAAGGATGCCAAGCTTTTGGAAACCGTGTTACAGGTTAGTGTCAAATACAGGGTGTCCGCAAAGTTGGGGTTTTCCTTTTCAGAAACAACTACCCTTGAAATAACAAAGATAATGTGTAGTGAAACGAGGGCGACCAAGTAAAAAAAAAAATAAAGGAAAAAGTACTCACTCTCCAGTTAACGAGAAGGGCTAAGTACGTCTCTGCCCGAAATCATACCGCTCCAACCGAAAATGAAATCAGCTGAAGCGCTACCGAGCAGACGCAGAAACCACATTAATTGTCTTACACTTAATGGCACATCTTCTAACAAGGAAGGGAAAATGTTGCGTGAAAAGTCTAGGTATTGCATCCCGTCCAATCGATTTGGGAGAATAAATGGTCCAATGAGCATACCGTTCACCATGCCAGCCCTTACATTCACCGAAAATGTTTGTTGAAAATGACCAAACATGAGTGTTGAGAAAGTTATTCACCCCATTACGCGTGAACGTAGATTCGTCTGTCATCAATATGCACTTCAAAAAGTCCGGATTATTGTCATGTTGATGCAACAACCACTCACAAAACCGCACTCTTGCTGGAAAATCGTCAGGTTGAAGGGCTTGTACACGTTGGACGTGAAACGGATACAGCCCCTCTTCACGCAGCATTTGCCACACTTTAGTTTTTGATACTTGCACTTCTCTAGCCACGTCTCTAGTGCTTGTTGTTTTTTGAAACGCAATCGATTACACGAGTTCGTTTACCTCTACACGCGTGACTGTAACCGTCGGTTGAAGGTTGTATACTAACCTAACACACTGACCCCGACCCAGTTCTGCCGTCGGGTTGAGACCTTGTACCAGTCGGGGATATCCCGGCGGGTCGCGGCTACAGGACGGTATTCAAATATTTTTGATGTTGCAGAGCCCTTTATCTCGGTTCCCTTAAGACATTGGTGTATATGGTACTAAGAAAAATTGCTTATGTTTTCAAGATCTACACGTCGTGTAAAGGAAAACCCCAACTTTGCGGACACCCTGTATACAGGGTATCCTGAAAGCCTTAAACTAACTGAAACAAATTCGATTTGAGAACTAACAGCTTGGTTTACCTACAATAGTTGAATACTAACGCGTGTCTTCTTCTAGTTATTCGATGGTGAACTAAGCTTGATATCGCAGATAAATTCGTAACCTTGTTTTTGTCGTTTTGAGTCTATGTTATAAGGAAAATTTGCTTATTCTTACAATAATTATAAGCCACGTGAGTTGCAACTGCAATAATGCCCTGTATAGCGGATGTTTCAAATTCGACCCTGACCATCGGTATTTCAGAAACGGTCAGAGATAGGAAGTCGCTTAAATAGGAACAAAGTTGCGTATTTAACAAAATGCCGCTAATAAAGTCTAAAAATTCAAAGTGCTTCCCAAGAGGAACAACATTTCCAAAAATCGTTTTAATTTGTTCCTGACTTTATTTGTAATGGGATTTAAAAATTAATTGCACATTGACATTGCCACTTTTTCTCCTTTATAATACGGCATAATTAGAATTTCAATATGACGATTAGTATCTTGACCTCTAGCATCAACTTTATTTTTTCTTATATCAGGTAACCAAATAAGTTCGTGCGGTTTTTAGTAGAAAAATATAATTTTTTATTGAGAAACAATAAGACACTATTTATTTGTTGAAGTAATCATCATCACATTCAATGACCTTTTGCCAATGTGGAACCAATTTTTGTATGCCGGTATTCTAGAACTCTGGATTTGGAGTAAAAAAATTGGCGTACACCATCTCGAGTTGTGAACTGTCGGTGACTCATACAGTTGTCAAGAGACAAAAAAAAAGGTGATAATCACTGGGCGAAATGTCGGGAGAATGTGGCGGGTGCGGTAACGTTTCCCAGCCGAGTTCAGAAATTTTTTCTCGGGTCACTTTTGCGGTATGATGCTTGGCGTTATCCTGCAAGAATATCACTTTCTTCCGATTGATCAAAGACGGCTGTTTCTAGATTAGTGCTGCTTGTACTCGTTGAATCTGCTCACCATACAATCTAGCAGTGATGGTTTAACCCCTTTCCAAAAGCTCATAATAGACAATTCCAGTTGCTGCCCACCAAACACACAACAAAACCTTGTTGCAAGGAAGCCTTGGGCGTGTGTGGTACCGAATCAGTAGGCGACAACCAATGATGCGAATGCTTAGAATTCGGATACGAGATCCATTTTTCGTCGCAGATCTGATACCTGACCACAAACTAGTATTCTGTGAATTAAATATTAAAACCGTTTCATCGGAGGAAAAATTCATAACCTATAGGGATTTTAAGAACATTGATGTAATCAAATTCAAGCAGGATTTGGCTGCAGCTCGCTTAGAAGAAATGCTGTATATTACCGATATTAACTCTAAAATTCTAATCCTTTATGGGGTGCTTATTGAGCTTTTTAACTTTCATGCTCCTATTCGGACGGCTCGTGTCACCAAAAAAGCTGCTCCATGGTTAACTTTCGCACTTAAGGTCATTCTTAAGGTGAGAGATGAGGCTTTAATTAAATTTCGTCACAATCCATCAGATGAAAATTGGACAGCGTATAAACAGTTAACAAATTATTCACTTGCTTCAATCCGGCGTGAGAAAAAGGCATATTTATCTCGCTTTGATAATCTCAATTCTAGAAAAGCTTGGGATCAGCTGAGAGCAATGAATATTTGTCCCCAGAAACACATTGAAATACCCTATGATCTGTTAGACCCTAACCACTTCATGTTAAATTACCAAAATCTTAATATCAATTCCCGTTTGATTGACAGTACAGTAGAGTTTTATGAGAACAGCTTTAACAGCCAAGATGTAACTCCATTTACATTTAGAATGATGTAGTTACCTCTATCAAGTCACCTGCTACAGGGAGTGAAATTAATTTGAACATGCCAGGATACTGCTTACCAGAAATTTTATTGTATTTAACACATATTGTTAATATATGCCTTGAGACCGGGACTTTTCCTGAGGCTTGGAAGGAAGCTATTATCATCCCTTTAGCCAAAGTCAAAAATCCAACCACTCATAATCATTTGCGGCCTGTTAGTTTGCTATGCTTTTGTTCGAAGGTATTAGAGAAAGCAGTGTACATTCAACTAGTGGAATATTTAGAGCAAAATAACTTGTTTTCTCCTCATCAATCAGGATTTCGTGCGGGACATAGCACTACTTCAGCTTTGCCCCATCTAACTGACAACATCGTAGGTAACTTAGACAGACATATTAATACCATATTAGTGATGATTGATTTCTCAAAAGCCTTTGATACAGTTAATCACAAAATCATGTTGAGCAAGCTGAAGTACATTGGATTATCTGATATACCGCTAAGATTTTTCCAAAGCTACTTGGCAGAAAGAAAACAGTTAGTTAAGACGGTTAGGGGCGTCTCTTCTAGTACTGTGGTTTCGTCTGGCGTTCCGCAGGGGTCAGTTCTGGGACCCCTGTTATATTTAATTTACACTATAGACTTAGATTCATGTGTGGAATTTTGTTCTATACAAACGTATGCTGATGACACACAATTATCATTTCACTTCACATATGCTCAGTTAAATGAAGTGTCGTTTAAAATTAATACTGACCTAATCAATATTACGGATTTTTGTAAAAAGCACTGTCTCAGGATCAATCCTGAAAAGAGTTCAAGTATGCTTTTTTCTCCGAAACACATGTATAATAACATAAAGGACGCAATTGTACTCATTATAAATAACGAGCACATCCCCATGGTAGAACATTCTAAAAGCCTGGATGTTATCTTGGCCTCTAACTTGAAGTTTGATAGATACATCGGTTACCTGTCTCAAAAAACATATGCCAAATTAAAACTTTTATATTCCAACCGTTTCATTTTAAACTTTAAGACTAGGAAAAAATTAGTTGAAAGCTTGATCCTGTCATCTTTGCAACATTCTCTGATTTTATTCTATTCTTATTTGGATTCGTCGGATCGGTATAGGTTACAAAAAATTCAAAACGGCTGCTGCAGGTTTGTGTTTGGACTTCGTAAATATAGTCATGTCTCTTCGAAGATTAAAGATTTAAATTGGTTAAAGATGGAATCACAGTTTGTTTATGCTATGAAGGTGTTTGTCCATAAAGTAGTTCGCACAAAAAAACCACCGTACATTTTAGAAAAGTTAGTACCAAGAGGTAACATTAATCAGAGAAATCTCAGACACAACCTAAATTTTGCGATGCCAGACCACTATACAGCCCTTTTCCACAAAAGCTTCACATGTCATGCTGTATACAACTCTACAGATAAAATATGTCGCAGTACAACAATAGTGCCTTTCAGGAGACTCGTTAAGAAACAGCTGATGGGATATTAATAGTTCAAGTGTGCATTTTTTTCTTTTTCTTATTATTACTATTGTTTGTTTGTGTATCGAGTTTAACTGTGTTACTCTTTCGTACACAGTGAAGTTAAGTGTAAGAGTAGCCATTTGGCTAAACTTCGCCTCACTGATGTATGCTGTAACAGTTATACAACAAAAGTGTAAGCCTCTCGCAGCCGCTATAGGACATTTGCGTCAGTGCAAGATTCAGTTTTTGTCAACTATACTGTTACGTAATTCTACTTTATTGCAACCAAACTATTTCTTATGTATTGTATAGACGAAGTGAAGAATATATAACTAACACATTACAGTCATCTTGTTTACTTACATATCGGCCATTGTGAATTTCATACACAGGTATATGATAAACTTCTACACTGTGATATAGGGCTATTGAATTACTTGCGCAGCAAATTTTACTGTGATTATCGTGCAAATTAGTTACCCAATTTCTACGGGCTTCGTATTTGATTCATATTTTGACAATGACCAAAAGTATGTCTAGATTTTGAAGATGGAAAACTGAACTTATCTGCGTTAAATCTTCCACAAATCCTATATTTAGACACAATTACACTAATTTTTATCTCTTTATATCTGTAATTTCGAACTGAAACATAATTATTTAATATTAAATAGAGGAATAAATGTTTGCCCAATATGGCGGGTGATTGTGTACAATCAAGGCATCGTCCATGTTGTCTTTAGGTTATTAGAATATTTTGGTGTTGCCTGCAGGTGTTATACAACAATTTGACAAATGTCTGAAATAAAATTCCGACAGAGCCGCATGATTTACCTAGAATTTGTACCAGATCTATATCTTCTGTTTGAACAGTTGATAAAACCTTTTGAACCAATATGCATGCGTTGTTTGTCTTAAAACATTGGTTATGACATTTTACAAAAATGTGACAGCAGAAAGTTAGGTTATGGTGAAGTTGCTTACCAACATATTTAGCATATGTACAGCCTTTAACAGTTACTAAACCACAGTTGTATAAGAGCTTCCGTTGGGAGCAATTTGTTGGCTAAAGTAGTAAATTGCACACCAAAACAACAAGGCTCGAGTTTGTTTTATAAATGTTACCATGGATGCCACAACACAACCATTTTGACTAACGTACAAATTAATATGCGGTATAAAATATGCTACGTGACATATAAATCCGAACTCCCAGTTTAAATGGTTTTATTTTAATAAAATTTTGTATGAGTACTTAATGAAGCATAATAAGTAAATGATAAAAAAATCAAAATGATTGCACTGCTTTAAAGCCCTTTGACCTTTAATAATGTGTGGATGCACCCTGATGTGCTACGCATTCTCCAACGCGCCTAGGCATGCTTCTGATCAGGTGGTCAATGTCCTCCCGTGGTATCTCATTCCAGGCAACCACCAACTCCTCTCGAAGTGCTTCTAGAGTCTGAGAAGGACGTTGCAAATTGAGCAATCTCCTACCCATCATATCCCACACGTGCTCAATTGGGGATAAGTCGGGAGATCTTGGTGGCCATGGTAACAATGTGACATCATTATGTTGAAAGAAGTCTATTGTGACTCTTGCAACATGTGGTCGGGCATTATCTTGTTGGAAAGTTGGATCTGCCAGGGTGTCAAGATAGGGTAAAATATGGGGTTCTAGAACTTCGTGGATATAACGCTGCGCATTCATGTTACCTCTGATGAAAATTAAAGGTGACCTGGAACCATAAGCTATAGCACCCCAAACCATAACTCCAACAGTGTGATGAACATGTCTTTCAACAAAAAAACTGTGGATTCCTCCTTTCACCACGTCGCCTTCTAACCCTGGCACGACCATCGTGCATGCATAAACAAAATCGAAACTCGTCACTAAAGATAATACTGTTCCATTCCTGATCCCAGAGTGACCGTAGTCTGCACCACTCAAGGCGATTACGTCGGTGTTCTCGAGTTAAAGGGAGGACCCAGTGTGGCCGGTATGAAAACAAGCCAAAACTTCTCATTCGTCGGTAAACACTTCGCATGCCAACAGGTCTTCCGTGTTCTGCAAACTATTCATTTGCAATGGACCTGGTAGTGGAGAAACGGTCCCTTAAGGCCAATAATCTTAGGCGGCGATCTTCATGGTCTGTTGTTCTACGGCGGCGTCCAGTGCCCCTTGCTCTTTGCGTACGGCCTTCTCGAAGCCATGCCTGACAACACCTAACCACAGTGTCTACACTTCTTTGCACTCTAACTGCAATTGCCCGAAAAGAAAGTCCAGCTTCCCGAAGTCCCACTATACGGCCCCTATCAAACTCACTAGGTTGACGAAATCGTACAGGTCTCCGTACTCTAGGCATCGTAATCGATCGTAAAGGATGTCAAGTACCAAAATCCGCCAACGTTGATTCTTTACTGCGGCTGAAATATTCATTTTTAGAGCGTTAGTGAATTAAAAAAAAAGCAGTATAAAAACCGGAATGTCCAACTGATAAGGCTGAAAATTTTTTCACTTGTTATTTACAGTAAGATAAATACATTCACCAACTTTCATTAAAATAAAACCATTTAAACTGGGTGTTCGGATTTATATGTCACTTAGTATATATGATATTCTAACTTTAGGAACAGAACAACCAAGAATTATGTAGATCTCAGAATAGAAATATTCACAAGCTAAATCAACGTCACAACATTTTTCAAATCGCCCCAGCTAATATTCACAATCATTTCATAGAGCAGCTGAAAGTCAGCTTTCCTAAAATTTATGAACCTTTAAAGTCGCTATGCAACACGTTATTATGTTTGGTGGAAGGAAAATGACTCACAGTTACAATAAAAAGAAGAAGAGCTGTATTGGTTTGTGCTTAATATCGTTTTGCTCTGACTTTCAGATGTTGCCTCCGGAATCCAATACCAACAAGTTATTGAGATTTGGCAGCAGGGGTAAGCCGAGGATAAGTCCCCAGTACGATAAGTTCAAACAATCGAGAAACAGTCTACCTCTACCTAGTCTACTTCCATTAAAACGTGAGCTTGAGGCTATGCAGAAGGAAAACAGAAGATTGGACAAGTGGAAGCCCAGGCTAACGGGACACACGTTCCAGTGTCCTGTCATGGTGCATAGATCCATGAGCTAGCTTTGGTACAAAAATGTATTGTATTCTACCATAAAACATTTTAATAATATTAATGTAAAATTGAGTACGTTATTCAAAAATGCAAGACGATTCAAAAAAGTGAGTCAAAATACCCCAGTTCCTACCCCGGTGATGTGCCTACTTTAAACTAAAAAGGTTTGTTGAAGAAAGGTCAGAACATAACTTTTTCAAATTTGCGAGACAATCGTTGAATATACAGGGTGCAAACGTTATGATAGTCATTATTTAAATGAGCTAGCTTTGGTAGAAAAATGTATTGTATTCTACCATAAAACATTTTAATAATATTAATGTAAAATTGAGTACATTATTCAAAAATGCAAGACGTTTCAAAAATGTGAGTCAAAATACTCCAGTTCCTACCGCAGTGACGTGCCTACTTTGAACTAAAAAGGTTTGTTGAAGAAAGGTCACAACATAACTTCTTCAAATTTGCGAGAAAATCGTTAAATATACAGGGTGTAAACGTTATGATAGTCATTATTTAAATGTGTGATAGAGGGGGTTGAAAGAAGCAAAAAGTTTCATATAACATGGGGGTCAAAACGGCATTTTTTTTAGAGAAAAGCGACTTTAAAGTAAAACAAAATCTGACAACGCCGCAATGCCAGACGCAAATTACGACGGAACGCAGTGAAAATAAAGATGGAGTTTGTTATTTTTGGCTCTTAAGTATTATTTCATTATTTGATAATGTACTCGTAAAATGCAAACAATTAAAAAAACGGACTTACCACTAACTGTCTGTCTGGTATTGAACGTATTAAAAAAATCCAGTTATAAATAGGGAACACAATTTTGATACATACATTGTTTTTCTTTTTAAAACCCACACTGCACTTTTTTTGTATTTAAAGAAGATGTTCAAAATGTCGTCCTCCACTTTCCACACAAGCTTCATTACGAAGAACCCAATTTCTTCTTACTCTAGGTCCTCCAAGTTGTCCATTTATTATGTCAGCCGCATTAAAAAATTTTTCGCGAAGTTGTGCGTCAGTTGTTATTGGACCAGCCCCATAAGCCATCCCTTTAAGTTCTCTCCAATACCAGAAATCCATCGGATTGAGGTCAGGAGATCTTGCTGGCCATTTTCGAGGATCAGGAGCATTTCGACCGATCCAGCGATTTGGATAATGTTCATTCAAATACTGAATGACGCCTCTAAAAATGTGTGGTGGTGCCCCGTCATGAAGAAACCACAAATTCCGTTGTAATGGCATGTTGTCCAAGGTCTGTTCCAAAAGTTCTGGTAGGTTATTGGATAGAACGCTAAGGTATCCTTCTTCAGGCAACTTTGGGGGTAACTCAAAAGGGCCAATTACCTGATCGTCAAGAATACCCGCCCAAATATTTATTTTAAAACGTTGTTGGAAATGATCTTCACGAATGGTATGAGGATTTTCTTGAGCCCACGTGTGAGAATTATGGAAATTTAATATTCCGTCTCGCGTAAAAGTACATTCGTCTGTCGCTAGAATGTTTTCTTCTGGTAACAAGGCCTGCACTCGTTGTACAAGGTAGGAATAAAGCAAATTTTCCTGTAGGATTCTATGGACTATGGTATGCGATAGTCCTACGCGGCGGCCTAATTCCCGAGTGCTGATATCTGCATTGATTTCCACGATATTTAATATTTGTTCTTCCTGCTCTACAGTAACCTACCTTTCACGAGTGAGAATATTAGTGGGCTGAATATTTCCTGTATCTCGAAGTCTTTGGTTCACTTTCACAAATGACCTTCTGTCTGGGTGTACCCGTTGGCGAAATCTGTCGCGATAAAATATTTGAATTCTGACGAGCTTCACCGTAAACTAACAACATGTCGGCAAACTCTTGATTCGAGAACATTGTAAATAAACACGACGACGTACGCGAACAAAAACAAAACAACACGCCCGATGCTCTGTTCGACAAAACGATAAAGTAATTTATCTATGCAAAACGATAACTAACCACTGTTACCGTTTGCGATCGATTGCCGGTTCGATAAGAGTGATGAAGGACCGACGCGCTGTTGCCATGTGTGTTTTAAATATTTAATTCAATGAAAGTTACTTACTTACTGACAAAAAATATTGGCTTAACTTAGAAAAAATTAATGCCACTTATTTGTTAATTACCCAATTTAAAAACCCTTTAGATCAGATTATAAAAATTAGTAAGATTTTGGTGATTGTGGTCGATATAAGGCACCTAAAGTTGTAAACTATAACGCCATTGAGAACTTTTTTAAATAACTCTAAAACCGTAGACTTTTTCAAAAAGCTCAGGGAGAGCAATTTGTAGATAATAAAACGACATTTTAAATATACAGGTATTCTACTTATGTTGTGGCGAATATAAACATTTAAACATCAATTTTACATGAATGACTTTACACTGGATCAAAATAGCAAATGAAATTGAAGCTTTCTTATGATTAATAAAATTTGTATTTTTTGTATTATTATATGTAATTGATACTTCAAAAATACAGCTCCTCAAGACGGAAAAACTTCCATAGAGAATCGGACGCTTGTTATTTGAACAATGACTCAACATGCCGGAAGTGTTTTCTAGAAGACAACACTATAGAATAAGAGTTGTCTAAGGTACGTATTGTAAAATTAATGAAATATTAATTTTATTTTGTGGTGTAATAAATAATTCATTTTCTTATTTTCTTTTTTAATTTCATTTTATACACCTCCACGTTAATGATTTTAATGAATATACTAAGTGACATATAAATCCGAACACCCAGTTTAAATGGTTTTATATAATGAAGCATAATAAGTAAATGATAAAAATTTCGAAATGATTGCACTGCTTTAAAGCCCTTTGACCTTTAATAATGTGTGGATGCACCCTGATGTGCTACGCATTCTTCACCGCGCCTAGGTATGCTTCTGATCAGGTGGTCAATGTCCTCCTGTGGTATCTCATTCCAGGCAACCACCAACTCCTCTCGAAGTGTTTCTAGAGTCTGAGGAGGACGTTGCAAATTGAGCAATCTCCTACCCATCATATCCCACACGTGCTCAATTGGGGATAAGTCGGGAGATCTTGGTGGCCATGGTAACAATGTGACATCATTATGTTGAAAGAAGTCTATTGCGACTCTTGCAACATGTGGTCGGGCATTATCTTGTTGGAAAGTTGGATCTGCCAGGGTGTCAAGATAGGGTAAAAGATGGGGTTCTAGAACTTCGTGGATATAACGCTGCGCGTTCATGTTACCTCTGATGAAGATTAAAGGTGACCTGGAACCATAAGCTATAGCACCCCAAACCATAACTCCAACAGTGTGATGAACATGTCTTTCAACAAAAAACTGTGGATTCCTCCTTTCACCACGTCGCCTTCTAACCCTGGCACGACCATCGTGCATGCCTAAACAAAATCGAGACTCGTCACTAAAGACAATACTGTTCCATTCCTGATCCCAGAGTGACCGTTGTCTGCACCACTAAGGCGATTACGTCGGTGTTCTCGAGTTAAAGGGAGGACCCAGTGTGGCCGGTATGAAAACAAGCCAAAACTTCTCATTCGTCGGTAAACACTTCGCATGCCAATAGGTCTTCTGCAAACCATTCATTTGCAATGGACCTGGTAGTGGAGAAACGGTCCCTTAAGGCCAATAATCTTAGGCGGCGATCTTCACGGTCTGTTGTTCTACGGCGGCGTCCAGTGCCCCTTGCTCCTTGCGTACGGCCTTCTCGAAGCCATGCCTGACAACACTTAACCACAGTGTCTACACTTCTTTGCACTCTAACTGCAATTGCCCGAAAAGAAAGTCCAGCTTCCCGAAGTCCCACTATACGGCCCCTATCAAACTCACTAAGTTGACGAAATCGTACAGGTCTCCGTACTCTAAGCATCGTAACCGATCGTAAAGGATGTCAAGAACCAAAATCCGCCAACGTTGATTCTTTACTGCGGCTGAAATATTCATTTTTAGAGCGTTAGTGAATTAAAAAAAAGCAGTGTAAAAACCGGAATGTCCAACTGATAAGGCTGAACATTTTTTCACTTGTTATTTACAGTAAGATAAATACATTCACCAACTTTTATTAAAATAAAACCATTTAAACTGGGTGTTCGGATTTATATGTCACTTAGTATATTTATCTCATCAAGAATTTTTATTTGATACCCATATCATAGGCCCTACTGAAGAAGTGATCAATCAATGAATTCAAAATGGCGGCATTTAATTAATGTGTATTTCCACGCAAAGCAAACTTGTATACGACGTTTCAGCTCGTACATCCATACTAACAGCTTAAGTTGCATTGAAAAAATGTAGATTCAACGATTTTGTCGCTAAGTTGAAAAATAGCATACCTACTCAGACTGTTTGTGAATAGTCTCTGATAATTTTGTTCTGCCTCTAATTTTTTGAAGTTACCCCTGTTTTAAATTCTGAGCGATGGACTAGTTGTCTAGTAACACTTTTCATCAAGTCATCGTTGGTTGTCAGAGCGGTCCGTGGGACCTTAGCTCTTGAGTTACAGTGTCAGTTTGTAAGTCTGTCAGGTCTGATAACCCAGAAACCAGACAATTTTAAGGAAAAAGGGAAGGAAAGGAGAGAAGGAAGAACGAGAGCAAAGGGGAAGAAGAGAATCTTTTAGGATAGGCAGCGTTTAGGCATTGTTAAAATCACTTCACAGATTTTGATGTGGTCTAAAAATATTCGGTTTTTTCTAAAGATTTTGTAAAAATGCTCCAATTTTGGTTGTTCTAAGTTCACGAATTAATGTTAGTTACAGTACGAGTCGCGGCTTGCCTGTGCTTGCGAGCTTGCTCGACTGTGTAGTCCACTGACTCACGCAACAGAGGGTTGCTGTGCGATTCCGCTATGCTATAGCGCCGCTGCGCCTGTAGCTTAATGTAGTCCTTTAGGTAAGGGACATCGAGGTTTCTATGAAGAGTTTCGTTAGAGACTTACCATGTGGCGTCAGCAATAGTGCGCAACGCCCTGCTTTGCAGAACCTGCAGATTTCTCATGTGTGTTTTAGCAATAAAACACCAAGCCGCACATGCGTAAGTCATTGCTGGTCTTATGACCACCTTATAGAGTCGAATCTTGTTAATCAAACTTAATTTTGAACGTTGAATGGGTAAAGCTGTCGAAACCTAATTTGGAATTTAGATTTTAGCGCTTCTGTATGGTTCCGCCAAGTCATCTCGTTCAGAATGACACCGAGATACTTAGCGGAGGATTCTCATGGTATATGAAGTCGTTTCATTGA